GTTTTTATCATTTTTAACTTTTCAACAAGTTTTAAATCATTCACAGCCAAATCATTAAATTGCAGAAATTCATCTGCGAATTCTTCTTCAATATCATCATGATAAACACTCTGAAAAGCTTTTGCGCTTTTTTGAATGTTGTCTTCAGACTAAGTTTTTGTAGACATGAATCCAAACCTGGATTCCAAAAATAAGTATGCTGATTTTCTTTTTTCTAGTTCTGAAATAATTGAATCACAAATTACATAATGAACTTAAAAAATAAAATGTTCCCTTTCTAAAACATGTTGACTGTTATTTCCAGTCTACATATTCAGGGGTCTGTCCAGGCCAAATTTACTACCGTTTAGCGGTAGTTTCACAAAATACTTTTTCTTAAAATTTTATTTTTGTATCCCATAAGAAACAATAAACCCATATTTTTGTGTTGATTTTTTAATATTATTTTTTATTTTCACAAATTATGCCTGAATTTTCACAAAAAAAGGTACCTCTCAGAAAAACCTGGACAGACCCCTGATATTCTAAGCAAGTGAAGTTTTTTTAGTTAAGTAAAATCTCACAGTTTCAGTCTCTTCGGATTTTTTATTTAATTAGTTATGAATAGTTTTCGCATGTGATTTTAATTCGTTCATTTTATATATTAATATATTCATGAGAAATTTAAAACGAAGAAAATTTATAAGAATTTTAAATGTTTAATATTGTGATAAAAGTTATTATTAGTACTTTTTTTCTTTATATGTCAAATCCTCTTTTTTTTTTAAATATAAAGTGCTGGAATGTATCGTTTTAGTTATGAACATGAAATAAATCTTTACTGCTAATAAGGGAATTATCTAAAATGTTTTCCTCGAGATAAAGATACTAGGAAGGTTATTAAAATAACAATGACACTAAATCTGTAAAAGATGCACATTAATATAATGAAAAAAAATTTTTTTTAAATAGTATGATGTGTGTTTTATTTTCTTACAGGCATATTCACCAAATAGATGCAGTGTTGTTATCCTACCCAGATATTTTGCATCTGGGTGCCCTACCTTATGTTGTTGGAAAGTGTAATTTGGATTGTCCTATTTATGCTACTGTTCCTGTTTATAAAATGGGACAGATGTTTATGTATGACTTATTTCAGGTATTCATAGTTATAATTTACTTATTTATTGACCTTTTTTCTTCAGAGTCCCTGTCAAGGGACAGCTAAAGCTTTCTGGAAATAAATTTTTTCCCCTTTAGAACTCAGACAAAAAAAAAAAAAATTTTAAATTATACAATAATATCTTTATTGAAAAATAGTAATGTTAGTAAGGGCTGTGCCCTTGTCATTTATAAAATGTGAGAAGCCCTTTCTGACCCCTTTTCTGGGTTCAATGACCCTTGACCTTTGGAAAAAGTGTAGTTAATCACTCTATGGCTATATGTCTTTTAGTTTAATGTTACTATTATTATATGATAAAATATTAAATCCTTGCTAATGAAAGATTTAAATAGAAGCCAAAAGATTATACGAATAATTTACATTATTATTTATTGTTGAGAAGGGGTAAGGCCGTTTTTCTTGAATACGTGTATTTAATTACTATTAATTTGATTAAAGTATTCAATTTATGCTTTTAATTTTAAAATGCAGTTATAAAATATATGCTGCTATCAAACTTAATAAATATCTCCATTATAGTGTTCTCTTTTTTTTCAGTCTCGTCATAATACTGAAGAGTTCACCCTTTTTACCCTGGATGATGTTGATGCAGCTTTTGATAAAATAATACAACTGAAATATAATCAGTCTATCAATTTGAAAGGTTTGTAAAAATGTCTAAAAGCCCTCAGACTTTATTACATATTTGTCTAATACCTAGTGCTTTGTTTATGTTTTATTTTATTTATTTATTTTTTTATAAATAAATTCTAATTTTTGCTTTTTACAGAGATCAGAATTATCTGATTAAAATCTATTTATTCTAAGTGGCCACCTACCTGGAATTATCAGGGAATTTTTTTACACTGGAAAAGTAAGGGAAATTTATATAAAAACCTGGAAAAATCAGAGAATTTTAAAGAAAAACTGGAATTTTTTTATAGATTTTCTTAATTTAAATTATTTTATGATCCATTATACCGACTTTTTATAAACTGTAATTTATTGCCAAACAGTTGAAATATCAACTTAGCAATATTTTGCATGCATCAAAATTTACTCCATTAATCCCTGTTAAACTAGAATGCCACCTAAAACCCATGATTGCTAAATGAATGGAGAAACCTTTTCGGCGACAGTTGGCAAAGATTGTGGTGGAGGTTGAAGAAGGAGTTACGATATTTGCTTCTGTTTATAAAAGTAGCATTTGTTTCACTTCTAAACCGTGGGTTAAATCCATTTATCATTTGTTCCGATGCTTCAAGTTTTTTTCTTTCTTCTGACTAAATGGTTAAGAATGTTTTAGTATTTTTAATTTCATAAAATTCACCTCAAATTGGTTGGTCATAATTTAATAGATTAAGATTTTATGTTATACTCTTTTTCTAAAAGCTTTTGCGCACCCATCCAAATCTGTGAATTATTTTTTCTCAGCAAAGCGAATCAAATAACATATTTTCTTACAGTCGCTAACAGCAATGTTTGTCAACAAATCATACAATTTTTAATGCTAATTTGCTTGATTTCATTTTAGCCTTTTATAACAGATTTTAATTTTAAAGAAAAGGTTCTTTTAGGGATCAACCCTATGTTAACATGGTTATATTAACATTTTGTTGGTAAATATTTGATTTTTAATTCAAAATTAAGACTTGATTTGAAATTTGATTCACAATGTCCAATTCAAAATTGACATTGTGTAGTAATAACAATGTCGAATTTTCGTTAATGTTACTCATTTTCCAGAGATGATATTTCCTAAACTCTTTCTCTTTTTTCCTTAAGAAACAGGTAAAAATTCGGGAATGTATAGGAAACATGTTAAATGTTGTATAAACAGAGGATATAAAAAATTTTTATTTATATGTGTTTATTAGGAAGAAGGAGAATGAAACTGTGTTTTTGTTCTGCACTGTGCAGGTTTCTAGTTGTAAAAGCAAACAAAAAAATTAACTAATCTAAGCTAAAAAAAATCATTTAATTAGATAGGAATTCTTTAAATATTTTAATTTCAAATTAGAAAAGAATAAAATATAAAGAATTTATCTAGTTTTTTCTATGAGATATGTAATAAGAAATTTGACAATTTTGCCTTTGTGACATTAATTTTTTAATACTGCTTATCCAGGGTGCGTAGCGTTTGTGAAAAGTACTTAAAGGTGCTTTTTTGGAGATTTCGTTTTTAAAAGCTTTTAAAGGTGCTTTTTTCAGCTTGCATTTTTAAAAAGTGCTATTTTTCCGAATAATTTTTTCCCCCTTCAGTGATGTCTGGTGGATCCCATGTATTTCACGAAAAAATGGGGAGTTTGCTACGTAATCATTAACGCGGACTTCATGTCGTACCCACGTTATGACTTGCGCATGCGCGTACACTTGTAACCGAAACCCGAGTGCTCCAATTCGGATAAAGAATATCAGATCCTTATGAAATGTTTTTCTTTTTAATTTATTTTAATTTTGTTCTTGTTTATTTTATTTTACTTCTAACACTTTTTTTGACGTAGGGGGTAAGGGTACTTTTGTTCTGAGTTCAGGGTCAAGTTGAATTCACTCGGTGATGTGNAGGGAATGTATGATAAACATGTTAAATGTTGTATAAACAGAGGATATAACTTTTTTTTTTATTCGTATGTCATTATTAGGAAGAAGGAGAATGAAACTGAAAACAAACAAAACAAGAATGAAACAAACAAAAAAATTAACTAATCTAAGCTAAAAAATCATTTAGTTAGATAGGAATTCTTTAAATATCTTAATTTCAAATTCGAAAAGAATAAAGTATAAGGAATTTATCTAGTTTTTTTCTATGAGATATGTAATAAGAAATTTGACAATTTTGCCTTTGTGACATTAATTTTTTAATACTGCTTATCGTGTTTGAAAACAACATTATTTAAACATTTGACTTTAGATATTGGTTTAAAGAAAATATGATCAATGAATTTTACAAAGAATACTGTTTGGATTAAATACAATATAAAATGTAAATAAATATAAAAAGTTATTCATGCATAATCGCCTAAAATTATTGTTTTTGATTAATAATTTTTTTGTTTAATGAAAATTAGGGATGCAACAAATATTCAATTACTATTCGGCCTGCTTGCCAAATATTCAACAAAGTATTTTTTGGCAAAGTTTTAATAGATTAAATATAGAGTTATCTAAAATAGTATTTTTATTATGCATTATCAGATATAGTCTTTACACATCTTTGTTAAGTTTTAATATTCATGTGCTTGCAAAATTATGTTGTGGAAGAAAAATGAAAAAGCAAAATTTTTGTTTTAAGAATCTAGATTTTTTTTTTGATTATATCACAGCATTTTAACTGAGCATTTTGTGATAGATTTTATTCTTTTATTTTTACTTTTTTCTAGAATGGTAAGACAGATTGCTGGTAACAAAGAATGCTGTGATTTTCAACCTTAAAGTTATATTTTAAGAAATTAGAATGCTTTTTCTTATGTCTCTTTTTTGCAATTTTTTATTAACTTTTTATCAAAGTTTTTTATTATGATACAGCATTTTTTAAAGAGTGTTTCTGAAGAACGTTAAGAACAATTTTTGTTTTCGTTTCTATTTAGCTTTTTCTTTTTTAAAAAACTTTGGTTTTTTATCAAGAGTTTTATTATGGTAGAGCAATTAAGAGAGTTTCTAATAGACTAATTTCTTTTTTCTACCCTTTAAAAAAAAAAAATTAAAAATACAGTATAATTGGAAAACAGATGTTCAGTTTAAAATATGATAGTCCATCAGTTCAGTTTAATTATGATAGATTTTTATTTATTTTGTTTCTCTTTTGTGTATAAATTTTTGTGGGCATTTTTAAAAACTTTTCTGATAGACTTTTTTTCTTTTAAAGTTTTATGTTTACTTTTTTTTTTTCGGAAAATACTATTTTCAGCATTAAAGTTTCGTCTTAAAATTAAGAGAATATTTTTTGCTATTTCTCTGTTTCTTTTTTATTCAACTTTACAACTTCAGTTTTTTTTTGTAGCTATTAGTTAGTTTTTATTTATCTTAAATATTTCTAATAGATAACTTTTATAATTTTTTCTCTTTATATTATTAGTGTAGGGTAAACCACACTAATAATATAGCTACGTTTTGATTAATTTTCAAAAATGACTAAACTTATTTATATATTTAAAAAATATATATATATATTAATGATTTTTTTTAAAAGAAAAATGCTACTATTCGGCATTCAGACGATTAGTAGCATTTAATATTTGGAAATATTTCGCACAAAATATTTGGTATTCAGACGATTGGTTTGGCTGACTATTCGGTATTCAGCAATTCTGCCAAATTAAACTACACTTGTCAAAGTTTTTTTTTTTTTTTTTTTTTTTTTTTTCTT